ATATTAAATTTTAATTAATTATTTATTTATTTTTATTTAATCTTTCAATATCTAAGAATTACATTAAATCTCGATTAATTCAGAATCAAACTAAACTTATAAAAAAAAACTCTCCACATTTATTTCTCTATTTACAAAAATTAAATTTAAAATTTTATTTAAGAAAAACTATTTTTTTTTCACTCTAACTATCATATTGTTGGTGTGGTGCACTGATGTATAAAGGAAAATAACGTTATGAAAAGATTAAATGCTAAATTTAGTTCCTCAACTTTACAAAATGCACATTTTTGATCCCTCAATCATTTTTTGCATTTTTTTAATCCCTTGACTCTAAAAATTACATAGTTTTGGTCCCTCCATCAATTAAGTATGATGTGGCAGTTAAATAATTTCATGTGGCATTGTCTTTTAATTTTTTTGATGATGTGGCAATAATATATATTATAATTATGTTGTATAAATAAATAAAAATACCACATAGATTAATAGGTATATTTTAATTAAAAACAAATAAAATTACCTTATTACCCTCACCCTCCCAATCCCTCTTCTTCCCCTTCTTTCTTTCTCTTTCTTTCTTTTTGTCCTACCCTAGGATAGGTTGGGTTCCGTTGAATCCAACTGCTGGGTTCGATGGAAACCCAGCTGCTAGGTTCGATGGAAACCCAGTTGCTGGGTTCGTCAACCAACCAAGGCTAGGTTCGTCAAAACCCAAAAAGGTTGGGTTCGTCGAACCCAACCTTGGCTGGTTTGTGCAACCAAAACCCAGCCTTGGCTAGTTCGCGCGACTAGCCTGGTTTTGTCCAAGGCTGGGTTTGTCGAAACCCAGATCGGCTGGGTTTTGATGCACCCAGCCTTGCTGTTTCGACACGGGATTCATGTTTTTCATTCTTCTTTCGATTTCCATTCCCAGTTGTTAATAAATTTGGGAGTTGATTTACAATTTAATTGCATTTTTGTTGGAATTTGATTAAAGTTTGTATTTTTGTTGGAATTCGATTAGAGTTTGATTGGTATTGATTATTAAAGGGTTAATTTGATTTGATAAGATCTGCCAGGTTTGAGGGTTCAATGAAACCCAGTAGCTCAAGTTCCCCCGAGAAAAGAGAAGAAGAAGAAATGGGTTAAGATCGATTTTGTAGATGGAGTTGAGATGAGAGAGCATATAGAGAAGAAGAAGAAATGGGTTAAGATCGATTTTGCAGATGGAGTGGAGATGAGAGAGCATTCAGAGGATAAGAAGATATGAGTTAGATTAATTTTGCAAAGAATGAAGATGAGAGATCAGTTTGTAAGTAACGTGGGATCCACAAAAAGATACATGTCATCAAAAAAAGTCCAGATCAGCACTTTTTTAAGTTATTTTCACCATGTCATAAAAAAATATAAAAAATACCATGTGGCTGAGTTAACGGTCCAAATTGACAGAAGGACTAACGGAGTGCATTTTGTATAGTTTATGGATCAAAAAAGTGTAAAAAATTGTTAAGAGACCAAAAATGTGCAACTCACTAAAGTTGAGAGACCAAATTTAACATTTAACCTTCTGAAAATCAATTATACGGAGACAGTGCACTCTTAAATTAGGACCTAGGAGGATCCTCTCTTTTTTTTTCTTTTTTTTTTGGGGGGGAAGGGGGGGGGGGTTCTGGGAGGCTCAGCTCTTCTGCACTATATTTTTGGATCAGCCCAAAAAAACTATTTGAGTTGGCCCAAAAAGATGGTATGGACCGATCACCTATACAGTAAAAAAAGTTATTAGGTTGGATTAAATTTAAAATAAAATTAATTTATATATATCTTTTAATTTTTTTGCGAGGATGGGAATCTTTGCGAAACCTTGTGGGGTGAGAAAAATTTCCCGCATAAATTCACAAGAAAAAACACCACTGTTTCCATCCCACCCCTGTAGCGGGACTCCTCGCGGGCCTCAAAAGAATCAAGGAAAATTGCCACCCTAAACAGAGCGCCTTTAGCACTAGTCCCTACATTTAATTCTCTGATTGCTTCAGCTGTTTCTTCAAGCAACTAGAAATCTCTTGACCATTTTGAGATAAATAAATACAGTTTCTAAAACCATATTCAAACATATCTGTAATCACTTCTGGGTCTAATCCTTGCATAAAATTCAATCTGGGATATAATAATTTCAAGCGTTTAAAAGGCGCTTGAAAATTAGCTTATTTTCACACTGGATGCAGTCTTTCCAAACACC